ATCACTTATGTGCCAATCAGTCTCTTTTGTGAGACCTATGAAAGAAGTAATTGAACCCAGATGACTTATTTTCCTGTCTGGAAATTATTTTTCTGCATCTGAAGGATTTTCTTTTGTATTCTCTGGCACTTTTCTAAGTATAGAAAGATACCATATTTTGTGAAATGTATCCATTCAGGATTAATGAGTTGTGAGTAATTATCTGAGTTTTATAACATGCTTGACTTGCTGATTGAACTACTATTAGAATGTTATCCAGTAATGACAAAGCTGAATATACTGTTCTCTCAGAAAGGCTATCAAATTGACTAATAGTTTTGAGAAGACTATTGGAGCCAAACTTTAACCAAAAGGTAGGCTTTCAGAACCCATGATCATAAATATTTGAACTGGTATATAATAGGCATCATGTGGTGTCACACACATTCAAGGGGGAAAAAATGCTAAGATACAGGCAGAATATGCTGGTTATGGTATTTATTTTATTTATTTATTTATTTTTAATATTATATATTCTCTTGAACCTTCATATTTCAGTTGATTTATATGGAGGCCTTTATTAATCTGGATCTACGTTTACCCTCAGTGGTGTCCTTTGGTGGGGATATCACTGAATGTCTGATACACAGCGTTAGTAGGATAATATTTCATCTATATTGTTTCATTGTGCCTACAGTCTTCACAACTGACAGTTTTTTTCCTTCATGCTACCAATTGTTCACGAGACATACTTCCATATGTATGACAAGTGAAATATGTCCATAATTAATCCTTAAGCAGGGGTTATACTAGCAGAACTGCTCTAACCCCAACACTCAAACCTAAGTAGAACCAGAATAGAAGTGCATACTAGACTTTAGAATGGCTGGGCAAGCACTGAATAGAAAACATAATGTCTGCAACTTCAACAAGAATAATTGTGAACAGGCTGAGGTCAAGGAGTACAGAAAGTGACAAAATGAGAAACAAGACAGGACTTAAGATAACAGAAGTCCAGATTAGTCAAACTAGCTAAAGTCCAAACCAAATAATAAAAGGACAATATAACATGCTCTCGGGTACACTAGAAGCACAACAGGGCAATTAACACTGAAAAGCATGGAGTATAAAAACCCTAGGTAGAAATCCTACTTTTCAAACTCATGTGTGCGATGCCAGAATGAGTGTGAGCAAACACGTGGCAAACAACGATGCAAGTGCTTCAGTCTACAATAGGTGCTACTGGACAAGTGTTCTGAGTCTGAATTGATGCAAGGAGAACCCGTGACGTCCTGACTAGCAGTGAAAATGTACCAAGTACTATGAAAGATGCAGGAACTATACAGCTCATTTAAAGTGACACGGGAATGTCTCTCATCGCTCAGATGGAAGGCAGAACAACGCCTTGAAGAGACAAGTATCCTGACAAATACTGCCCACAATGTTTTCTGGTTATAGCTCTTGCAAATTAAACTATGACTTCCTTTTTTTATTTTTGTTTTATATATATATATATATATATATATATATATGTAGAAAGGCCATTAGGCCTGAATTTGTGGGAGGAGTAAGTCCCCTACTTAAACTCCCAGCCCCTACTCACCGCTGCCGCTCAGCTGATTGTCCTTAGCAACCAGCACTTCCGGTCCAGCTTCCCGCCAGAACTGTACCTGTTTCCAGCAGCCAGACGCCCTGTGCAATCCTCCGTCCGTCCGAGGTCCTTCCACTCCGTTTCTCTCCGGTCGAGGTACCCGACTTCCGGTCACGAGACCGGCGCGTTCACGTAAGCAAGGCGTGGGAATTAGCGTTCGCTATTTCCCCGCCGTTCGGGCCTAAAAACGTAGGGGTAGGCTCCCTCTTTTGCATTTTCACGAATACACGCTTTTCGTTAATATCTCCATTCGCGCCAAAAAACGCACGAACGTTCGGCTCATTTCGCTATCATTTAAAGCATTTTCGTACGGAAACAACCGAATATATATTTCATGTTTAAGCTCATTATTATCTGTATTCACTTTTTCTGTTCGGTCATTTCAGCACCAAACTATTCGTATGGTAAAATTCACGAACACCATCTTACTAATTTACATTCGGTTATTTCTATTCTTTTAAGCTAAGCATGCATAAGTTCTAATCACACTATCCTACTATTATTTATTCCTTCATATCAGTTTTTTGGTTACATTATCCGGTTAACTACCAGCCCTGTGTTTTCCTACCTTGTTAAACCATTTATAGTATTTTTCTGTAATAAACATAATGTTTTACCATGGTTCATAACTTCATACGTGTCTATATACAAGCTATACCATTCTTTCCAAATAACACTCAGATAAGTCAGTTAAACACTATTTACAAGTTATACCCATTACACATAATCCGTACTATTCCTTGCACATAAATCACGCTGTCACATTTTGGCTTTTACAGATTGCATCGGTCTCTTGCTTTTCTGCATAAAGTTGTTATTTCAAGGTCCTTTTATTACAGGAACAGGTATGGTTTATTATCACCTTGAGTTATCAGGTTTTATCAATTATCTTCACATCTATTGCTAAATATGGAATTTGTCTTGGTTAAACCCTTAGATCCTGTATTTATCTAAACTTCCACCGTTTCTACGCAGTTAACCTGCCACGATTAAACAATCTCTGTACTTAAAACCAAGGTATAGTTCACTCTCTTTTCAATACTAGACCTCACGCGGTCTCAACTCCATTACTACCTTCCCTCAGGCTTACGCCCAGGATACGTTATCTCTTTACTACTTGTCTACACAGACTTTCGGTCATACGGCCATCAGGCTCAGAAGACACCAAAAACCTGACCCGGTACTCAGCCATACCTTCAGGTACTTACGTCCTTACTCAAGTACGTCCATTCGCTACCCCAAGGCCTCATTCTGCCTTCTCACTCATATCCAAAATCATCCCATTCCTACACCTTAACCTCCCAGATCCCTCAATGCAGGATCTCACGTGGTGCCCCTAACAAACCTTCTCCCAATACTATTCATACGACATCACGATACGTATAAACACATCAACATCTGTCTTAAACCCCCAGGATTCTTCCTCAAAGACAACATTAAGACAAGACTCTCTACACTTATCAGGAGGCTCCAGATACCATTTGCGACCAGTCAAGGTTAGTATCCGCACACCACTCCAGTCCTCTAACTTTACCCTTAAGCATACAATCGAACTGGCTATACGGCACAGGCTAATGCCTTAGCCCACCCTATCAGGAAATCTGATCCCGCGAGGCCTACCACCCCCACCCCACCTCAACACGGAGGTACGGCCCCACGCCCAAATCATAGTTATAAGCCTCGCATGCCTTACTACAGGGCTCTAGTTAGGGCCTCACCTGTCACGGCCACACGTTTTGATTTCTCTTATCGTCACCGAGAGGCCAACATCCCGCCACCACGTCTGTGGCACCTACGTCATAAGCCAAATCATAGGTAGAGCCTCTCATCGCCACTTGGCATTAGCAGGGCCTCACCTATCCAGTCATTCAATAGTTAAGTTTTTCGCCTCGGCATCTAGCATTAAAGTCCAGTTCTTCCAGACACACCACTCCCCATACCCCCCCCTTCTTACCTCACTCCCCTTCTAATATATCTTTCACATAATCATTCCTTTTTAGAATGTCCCAAGAACCAATTCCAACCGAAGAACCGATAGAAGAAACACCATTCACGCCAATCAGACCCGTGTCTCCAGGCGAATCACTTACTCTTTCAACCCCCACGTCCTTGAGAGCATGGACTATTCCCAAAATCACGGCCGAGCTTAGGCTCAGGGGAATCCCCTTTCCGGCCACAGCTAGAAAGGCAGAACTTTACAGGCTGCTTACCCACCAAGTCCCCGAGCCTCGGCCGGGAACTAGCTCTCAAGGACAACCACCAAGAAACAGCACGGCCACCCAGGATACCCTGGCAGATATCTTGGTCAATCTACAGACCCTCAATAGCAGGCTGTCTAAGGTGGAGAGCGCCATCTCCTCCTCAGGTACTAACACCGTAGTCCCAGTCTCTACCACGGCTGTACCTGCCATACCTACATGTCCCTCTATACTCCCCCCTCCAGCACCTGGCACAGCCATCACACCTTTCGAGTCACCAGCACACTCCGTCCCAGATTCTATCAGGAAAGATATCCTAGACGGGAAGGATGTGTGTCTGGTGTCTTTACTCATAGCCTCTCAGGATGTACTCGAGAACAAGGCATACAATTATGGTGACATTTCAGTTGTGCTCAAAACGAGGGATCCCAGGCTTAATAAAAAATTGTCTATCCCACAGTTTGTGATAGCTTTCGGGATATACCGCGACGTCATTTGCACGGTGTATCCCCATAGGAGAGAAGAGCTAGATCTCTATCTCCACAAGGTAGTGGATCTAGGCATCAAGTACGGGGGCTCTTCCTTCTATGACTACCACAAGTCAGTTTCAGCGAAGGCGGCGACCCATCTCAAGCAGTTCAACATTAGAATGAACTGGGGTCAGATGGACACGGAACTTTTCTGTCGCCACTTCGCTGGACTCAGGCCCCCGGCTTGTGCCATCTGTAATTCTACATCCCACATGGCGGACTTATGTCCCGTCGAACCAGATCCCACCACCTCCACTCCCACCCCTCACCCCACGTTCACACCTCACTCCTCTTTCACCCCTCACAACAAGCCAGCGGGTGGTCTCCGGGATAAGCTGGGTAGGCCCATCTCCTTTTTAGGTAAAGCACAGGTGTGCAATAATTTCAACGCAGGCTCCTGCAGTTTCAGCGCCTGTAGATTATTGCACATCTGCTCCATATGTTTCAGGGCACATACCAAGACCATGTGTCCAGCCAGGTTGTCACCAAACAAATGACTAACCAACATAAATATCGACAACCTGGTTTCTCACCCCAGCAGGCACTTAGTGGATTTTCTCACCACAGGTTTCTCACAAGGGTTTCACACAGGCATAGTAGCCATTCCCCCAGGTACACTAGAATGTCCTAATCTCCAGTCTGCACGTTTAGACCCAGTCGCTGTAGACACTCTCATTTCCGCAGAAACCACAAACGGTTTCATGATCGGTCCTTTCACCTCTTCATCGCTTTCCTCCTGGTGCACTAACCCTATTGGTATTGCTATTCACAAATATTCTAATAAAAAACGTCTCATTATCGATTTATCGGCACCGCACTCCTCTTTTGTTCCAAGCATAAACGCACTCATTCCAGCAGACGAATTCTCTCTGCAGTACGTCACCATCGACGACGCCATACAGTCCATCATGACATCTGGTAATCGACCCTGGCTCAGCAAAACAGACATCACTAACGCCTTTAAATTACTGCCCATACACCCCTCACTCTGGCACTTACACGGTGTTAAATGGCGAGGGTATTATTACTTCTCAACACGACTCACTTTTGGTTCTCGAAGCAGCCCCAAACTTTTCGACATTTTCGCAGAGTCACTATGCTGGCTGCTTCTGAACGTCATCAGGTGTCACTCCGTTATTCACTATCTAGACGACTTTCTACTGATAGAGCCAGGGTCATCAACACCCACAGCAATCAATAGTACTACCGCACTTTTTTCCACACTGGGAGTCCCTTTGTCCCCAGCCAAAACTATAGGACCCACAACAAAGTTGACCTTTTTAGGCATAGAGCTCGATTCTGTCAAACTCAGAGCCAGCCTTCCACACGACAAACTTTCACGATTGAGAGGGGAGATAGACACGTTCCTGCGGAATGACGTTTGCACCAGGAGAGAACTTCAGTCCCTTCTTGGATCTCTGAACTTCGCCATGCGCATCATTCCGCAGGGAAGGTCTTTCATTTCCAGACTTCTTTGCCTGCTCCACGGAGTCCCGGACTCCGGCACAGTTTCTTTGGACCCCCACGCCAAGGCTGACTTAGCTATGTGGGGGAAGTTTTTGAAAGACTGGAATGGTATCTCCATGTTTATCCCCCCTCTCTCCACCTCTTCACCCATCATCCACACAGACGCAGCAGCCAACACCGGTTTCGCAGCCATTTTCGGGAACCACTGGTTTAGGGGCCACTGGCCCACTGAGACGGATGCCTTGCCAGGATTCAGGGAGACCTCAGCCCTATTTGAAATTTACCCCATTGTGGCGGCCGCACACACCTGGGGTCATCTCTGGTCCGGCAAGGCAGTAAAATGCTACTCAGATAACTCGGCAGCTTGCGATATCATTAACAAAGGGCGCTCATCATCCCTGACCATCATGCGGCTGATTCGCAAGTTGACCTGGCTGGCAGCATCCAATCAGTTTCACTTAGTATGTTCTCACATCCCGGGTATTCACAACACCGCCGCTGACGCTCTTTCTCGTTCTCGATTCCAGGCATTTTCTCAGGCACTCCCAGCAGCTCACCAACAGCCATCCAGGACACCACGGTTTCACGAACTAATATTGGATTAAGCACACTCTTGCTTCACGCTAGATCACTCACTCACCAAGCATTATCACCCAACACTGCTATCACTTACAATAGGGCACTTAACATATTTAACAAATTCACTGCAGAATTCGGGCTACAAGGTGACTTTTCTATCCAAACCATGGTGTCTTTTGCCTCTTTTTGCCACCTACACCTTAATCTGTCACACAACACCATTAAACTTTACCTCACCGGGGTTCAGCACCACAGCCTCACCAATTTTCCTAACAGCACTCCTTTTTTGTCTTCATACCCCATAAAAAAGGTCTTGAAAGGTATATCAAAGGTTTCACCACCACTCGCAAGCACTAGATTACCCATAGACGGGCCTATCTTCAGGTCACTTAGCAATCTCCTTGACACAGCCCCATTTGATAGCTACACCAATACGGTGATAAAATCTGCCATATATCTCGCTTTCTACGGTTTTCTCAGACCTAGAGAGTTCACTGTGATTTGTCAAGGAGATATCACACGATGCCTTAAAACTTCACACCTCACCAAGGTAGAGGATCACTACCTCCTTTCTATCCCTACCACGAAAACCAACCGGTCAATACATCCTACAATAATTCCTCTCTTCCCTACTGATAATGCCTGGTGTCCGGTGAAAGTTCTCGACCAACTACGGTCAACTCTTCACACTCACCTGCCAGACTCTCCGCTCTTAACATTACAAGGGCACCCGCTTACCACGGCAAAATTGATGTTACATGTCAGAACCCTGTTATCTAAGCTCGGACACAACCCGGCTGCATTCTCCGGGCACTCCTTCCGCATAGGAGCCGCCTCAGCAGCCTCTAGCACAAACGCACCGGTCCACATCATCAAAAGGCTCGGGCGATGGAAATCCTCCATATATAACGCATATATTCCGCAACCAGAGAAAGAGCTTCGCCAAGCTTTCAGGAACTTGGTCTTGTAAAATGCAATAAAGTGTGTATTTTCTCGAATTTATCTTTTTGCCCTCTTTTATTTACAGGCCCACTCGTACGTTGGTTTCGGCACACCACAACCAACTTTGCTTACAGATACTATCCATTACGTATTTAAATTCCGAGCACAAATATATATATATATATATATATATATATATATATATACACACACACACGCGCGCACATTCATATTAGTACATGATTCTGTAATCTATAAGATTTCCTTATATTTCTATGTATATATCTTGCCTGAGTTTTGGTGGTATCAGGGTATGGTTTTATCCATCTACTTTTATCCATCTACATTGCAATCTGATCCTGTACACCAAGCATGTCAAACCCGCGGCGCATGCTGCTCACAATGGAAATCTTTGCAGCCCAGTGAGCCGCGAGTGCATGCTTAGTGTTAAAGCAGAGTAGGCACCCGCTTTCTCCACATTGCAGGTGCCTGCTCTGCTAAAAGTTACCCAGCCAGGGAGAAGAGCTTCCTGGCGGCAGCGAGGGAGCTCAGTCTTCATGCTCTTCACTGCTCCCTCGCGCGCCGTCTGTAGTGATGCCGGGCACCGGAATATGACTTCATATTCCGGCACTCGGCATCATTAAACTGCGCGTGTGAGGGAGCAGTTTAAAGCAGGAAGGAGATCTCCAGACAGAAGAGGGCCCACACCAGCTCCCAAAGGTAGGGAGGAATACATAAAATGATGTGAGTGCAAGAATATATAAATGGGTGTGTGTGTGTCAGTGTGTGTCTGTCAGTGAGTGTGTGTGTCAGTGAGTCTATCAGTGAGTTTGTCTGTCAGTGAGTTTGTGTGTATGTGTCTGTGTGTGTGTGTTGGTCAGTGTTGCATTGGCTGTGACTGGACAGTGGAGTACCTGGAGGTGCATGGAGGCATGCAAAGTCACGTCACATTCCGACATGACATCAACGTGCTCCACCTTCACAGGGTTTCAAGAAGTAGTGAGAGGATCAGATTTGGCACAGGGTGCGGATGGCGCCATTTGAGGTATACCAGAGGCCGGACTCCGGAGTCGCATACTGGCAGCGGGAATGTGAGTGGAGTCTGCTTGTTGGCTAGAGGGGGGTACTGGGATTTAGTAGAGGTGAGGGACTGGGATTTAGTAGAGGGGGTGCTGTGGTTTTTATTATACTGTACTTTTCAATATAAACCTACGTTGCTATGAAAATTTTTTTTTTGTTTTTTTTTGGAGGCCCACATCAACTTAAACCTTGTTTATGTGGCCCATGCTAGACTTTGAGTTTAACATGCTTAAGGATTTTTCCTCTTTCACCATGGATCATCTGTAGGACCAGGATCCCTTCCACTGATAAGATCTTGAATACTCTCTCCCAGGTTGTTACAGCTGGCTATCCCAAAATCTGTCATCTTGGGATTTCTTGTACTTCCAGGAAGAAAGGCCTTTTGCCCTTTAGCTTATTTGTGTATGCAGGGCCAGATTAAGAGCCCAGTGGGCCTGGTGCTGATAATTATGATGGGGCCTAATTACAGAATCTTATCAACTAAAAGCACTAAAACAGTCATACCTCTTAAACAACATGTATCTGATGGAGATAGTGTTGGAGGGAAACTCAAAGAATGCAGCTATTAGAAAACACATACTCTATGCCAATCTCTCTCTAATTTATGCTTTCATCTTTCAAGTAAATCCATACCCCCTAACCGTAGTGTCCAGTGAAGCAGGAAGTCAATGGGCGGGGTAAAAGGGTGGGCCACTGATGAGAGTCACATGACCAGAACTGCCAAAAGGGCGAACATTCCCAAAAAGGGGGCATGTCTGTCCAAATAATTGGACTGCCAGCCTGGCATCAGTGTCCTTATGTCGCCCAGTCCCCTAGTCTCCCAGTGTCTCAGTGTTCCCATATCTCCCAGTGTCCCCATGTCTGTGAGTCCTGTGTCACTAGGATACTAGGGGACTCAGAGACATGGGGACACAGTAAGACATGGGGACACAGTGAGACACTTTGGGATACTGGGAGACATGGGGCCACTAAGACACTCGGGCACACTGGGAGACATAGGGGGACTTGTGGATACAGACATGGGGACACAGGTAGACATGGGGGACTGAGACATTTGGGGTCACTGGGAGAAATGGGGACAGAGACATGGAGACACATACACTGGGAGACTAGAGGACACTGGGATTAATGGGGACACAGACACTAGGGACACTGGCTGCGAGGCATGGGGACACAGGCACTTGGGGACACTGGGAGACATGGGGGCACTTGTGGACATAGACATGGGGACACTGGGAGACATGGGAACACTGAGACATTTGGGGACACTGGGTGACATGAGGAAACTAGGGCCACTGAGAGACATGTAGACACAGACACTGGGAGACATGGGGGCACTGAGACACTAGGGACACTGGCTGGGAGACATGTGGGCACTGGGAGACATGAGAACACTGAGAGACATGGGGACACAGAGACATGGGGACACATACACTGGGAGCCATGGGGACACTGGAAGACATGGAGACACTATGTCCCTAGGGTCTCCATGTCCCAATGTGTCTCCCAATGTCCATATGTCTCACAGCATCACCATGTGTCTCAGCGTCCCCATGTCTCACAGTGTCCTCTAGTGTCTCAGTGTCCCCATGTTTCCCAGTGTCCCCAAGTGTCTGTGTCCCCATGTGTCCCCTAGTGTCCCCATGTGTCCCCTAGTGTCTCAGTGTTCCCATGTCTCCCTGCTGCCTTACCCCCCCCCCCATCCTTCACTTACCTGAGCTGTAGTCTGTGTCTGCAGGCTGGGAGCTGCTGTCTGGACTCTCTGTGCTGTGTAGCTGATCCCCCACG